AAGGCATGAGTACACTACTAGAAAAACAGCCTTTTACGATGCTCAGTGCGCATCGTAAAAGGCTCAGACGACGCGCAAATGCGCGTCAAGGAAGGCCCTGTCATAAAGAGAGACGACGCTCATTTACAACGCTCAATTACGACGCGTGTTTACGACACGCAATGCGTATCAAGGAAGGCCATGTCATAAAGCAAGACGACACGCATTCGCGTGTCGTAACCTTACGATGCGCGTGTTAATGACACGCAATGCGTATCAAGAAAGCCCCTGTCAAGAAAGGCCATGTCATAAATGAAGATGACACACATTTTTGCGTATTATAATTTTAAATGTTTAAAAAAAGTATTATTTATAGATTTACTAATTTTCAAATTAAATAATACCTTAAAAGTCTCATAATACAAAATAAAATACCATAAATAACAAAGATAATTCATTTCACTAATATGTCAAATACAAATAATTATTCCAATAGTGAGTAAATGTTATAAAAAAATGAACTAATTTATATACAAATAACTGCATTCTACTTTAAAATTGTAACTAAAGTACTTGTGGATGAGGATCCATTTGAACAAAAGCATCATGCATTTTTTCCATAGATTTCTAAGCTGCTTGCTTCCATTTTCTTGCCCTCCTTTGCGATCTTTACCATCTTCTTTTGCATAATCTGAAAAAACCAAACCATGAAGTATAACATTTTATTATTAATGAAAAAACCTTATAATTAGTTGAAAAAAGTTGTTTTATAATTGCATGGGTAACCTGTCTCTCAAGAGTTGCGAGACTCCTTGTGTGCATGGGTGATTGTGGGAGGACACCGTTTGATGGAGGGACACCAACCAGACCACAAATCAAAGTCTAATTTCACACATGTAATGTTTGTTGAAATGTAAATAATAATAATATATAAAATGGAGAAAAAGGGAAAAGGCATTAAGGAAGGGTATTAATATTTAATACCATGAATCCAAGTAACAATATGTCATAAGGGTAAGCAGAAGGGTTTTTAAGATTGAATTCTTTCTGTTGTGCCATTTGTGCAACTACACTATCGTCAAAAAAGTACAAGGATGCTATCATTAGTGCTGGTATTATAGCAGTGAAAATATGAACTGCTGGAACCTTCACCATATCTTGAAATAACGTTAATCTTTAGCTTCTAATAAAGGTACAATCTACCTTCATTTCCTCACCCATAATAGTAGCATACTTCAATTTTTTAATGATGATATTAATATACTACCAATATTTACATTTCTTTACCAATAATAGAAATGTACTTGTAATAGCAATATGTAAGTATGTTACTACTATGGGTAGAAAACAAAGTACATTGTTATTATAAAAAATACCTTAATGACTGTCCAATGGGACAAAGATCCAGGTTCCCAAGGAAGGGGACAAAAAAGGCGTTTAGGAACACCAGGAGGAACATCTCTAATAACTCCCTAAAATATCCAACATGGAACTCACTAATAACTCCCTAAAATATCCAACATAAGATCACATTGAATAAATTATCTCTCAAAATTAAGGAAAGTCAAAACATTAACAAGTGCATCTGCATGTACCTTAATAGCCTTTTGCATAAAGAACACTGAAATCAACATGCCAAAAAGTTCACCACTAACCCTTGTGAATCTTGTGATGAGTGTGTAAGCATCGAGTATAGGAAGAACACACAACATCACAACAGTCCAGACGCAAACCCTAAAAACAAGAAGAATATGTATATTATCATATATGCTTGATAGGAATGAAGAAGATAACACATAATAATTATACTTAAAAAATATTTCTAGAAGGTTCTATACCATCCAGCCCACGCTAGAAACAGTTGCCTCCCTAACATCACGACATTTTAGAGCAAAAAACTATAATTTCGTGTAGCAATAGAACAAGAGTGACGATTAATTCAGGAAATTGAACCTTTGGATTCTATTTGGAAAGATGGCGACTTTGAAAATTGAACCTGTTTTTGGTTCAAAGCAACAATATCAGACACCACGTGCAAGGGGTAAAAGAGGAACAAGGGCACCAAACCTGTGTGTAACACTTCTTTTAACAGAATGATCACAAGAACACATACACCTTAAAAGAGGGACAACTAACAACCTTGCATAAGGAACAGTTAACAGTTGTCACGTTGAAATTCAAGAAACTATAAAACTATAAAAGTTATAAAATAGCAAACATAATTGTATTATTAATCTATTAAGTATTTACTTATCTAAATTTCTTATTATAACTTATAAATTATATGTACATTTTGATGAAGGCCGAAACTGGAAATTGATTCCGCAAAAAATCAATTTGTGATTAATCTACCTTTCCTATGAAAGAAGTTGTAAGAATTCAGAGGAAGAAGAATATTTTCCAAGGATTGTGCACGTCTCCAACCACCTGCAATTAACTAAAATTAATCGAAAAGCAATAAGTAGAAAAGAAATTACTTTTACAAATCATACAATCAAAAGCATGGATGTACAGAATCATAAGTACCCTTGTAGTGAATGAAGGAATCCCTGTAAGTGGGACCTAAAGAAGCAGAACCACCTTCAGTCTCATGTATTGATGGAACAGCTACACTAACAGAAGCCTGCTCTTCATTTGAGATGTTGACTGCAAAAACAAGTCAGGTAATCAGAATAACAAAGTTCCTTAGTTTATTTGTTTATTATTCTTGTATCTGTATATTGTCTTCTGATATTGCAAATAATGTTATCTGCAACATAAAATAGATTAATCAGGAACCAATAACCCCTACCTCCGCTGATGCTTCTTCCCCCTCCGATTACTGTTTGGTTATTAACAATAACCCCTAAACTCTACTTCACCCTACAAAAATGAATACATTAAATAAATACATAGATTGAAATTTAGTAAATTAATCCAGAAAATGTAAGAAAACTATTGAACAAGTACCTCTGTGGTGAAATGAGTGTGTGCAAGAGGATCAAGAAACTCATCAAATGTCTTCTTGTAAAACTCACTGTAAGGATCTTTTTCAATTCTTTAGGATTCCTCATCAGCATTTCCATTATCTAAATTAACAAATTGTTAAGAAAACAAATGGCTCAAAAAGTTTTAAAAAAATCACTTTTTTAAATTACCCATATCGGTTTTGTCTCATTGGCCAATTCCCAATCCTAGTAATTTTCAGTTTTTATTTTCTTCTTCTTCTCACCCTGGAAAACAAGCATTACTTTTTTTATAAATAAATCATACAAAAGCACTGTAATTTGATGATCAACACTTTTCATTCTATCTGTGTATCTGAAAGACATTATAATCCCATGAGTTTAAAATACCATAATATATGAAAAAACAAATGCATAAGTTATAATACAGAATAAGAGTATAAGACAAACTATTTTTAACTTAATCCATAAAGAAGTTAATACAGAAAGTCAGGAAAATGAGGCTTTCCCTACTAAGTCCAACTTATTAGTTCTTACAAATTTGCCCTAATTCAATTGTTCTATTTTTGAGACAAAATAAGTTTATTAAATGTTACTGAGTTAATAACTGCATTGCAATAAATTATGGTTTACATACCTATACATGAGCCGAAGAAAGCAATGACCAGCTGCACCATTTGCACCTAGAGAGAAAAAAGGAACCTGAAACTCAACATCGATGTGATCAGCTCCTAGCTCCATTGCTAAACACAGAGCATCCAATCGACTCTTTTCATCCCTATTGTATTGACCACCTTCCCATGTTGTTCTAGAAAATAACATAGAATCAGAAACCTTTTGAGGAAGATAAACTGTTAGAAGATCATTTAAGATGAAGGCTATTCTTTTGATCTATGATAGAAAAAAAAAAGAATTGCCTTTATCTTGAAGAAAGGTTCCAACTTGTGTTTGAATGCTACCTACCGCAGAAAACAAGTGACTTTTGGAATGAACTAGCATTTCCTGCTCAAACAGACACACAAAATTACATCAGATTAGCCCTATAAACATCATACATACACATATACTAGCTAGAGTACTTGTGTCTCTAGATTGAATATATACTCATCTCCAAAATAGTTGACTGCAGGTGGTAATTCTGAATTTGAATCCTTACAACATGGGATGAATTAGTGACTTAAATTCTGGCTTCCAACATCTACAACCTGAAAAGAAATATATATCATTATCATGACATAACTCATCAGTTCAGAGAAACATAAGGATTGCTTACATATATCATTCTCTTATGTCCCGATATCATTAACCGAGAAGAATCATAAGTAATTATAATGAAATGGGCAGAAGGTCTTCTTTAGCACAATACACCTAGTGAGGAATTGCCTTCTGTTCTGTCAGACACACAATACACCCGGTGAAGCTCTTCTTTAGCACAAGCATCACTTGTCCCCATAAACTGCCACTTGCTTCTTCTTGAACATGATTGAGCAGCTTGCTCAACTGCAACTTCCATTTGCTTAATTTGCCCATGTAATCACCACATTGCTAAATCCCCTACACAACAAACCAAACAAAACAAAAATCAACATCAAATATTAATTAGCAAAAAAAAAGTCGAAAATACCCTTTAGGTTAACAAGAGATGTAACGACCCAATTTTCATGTCCAAAAATTTCATTTTAAAATATTACTTTAGAAAACATTAGTAAACAAAAACATTGTTTGATCACACCATAACACATCGCAAACCATGTTTTAAAAAGTCAAACCATACATCCCATCAAAATATCAGAGTACAATCCCAGTGAATCTCGTAAATGCGGAAACCAGAGTGTGTGAATGATGTGCCGCTACCGCGCCGGCTCCTCCCCCTTCGGTGAAGAGGTACTTGAAAACAAAACTGTAAACGTAAGCACAAAGCTTAGTGAGTTCCCCCAACGTACCACCTACCATACAACACATAACATACGTACTGCTAGGCTATTCTGGGGTGCCTGACTACCCGGTACGGCCATTCTGGGGTGCCGACCTACCCATACGGCCATTCTGGGGTGCCGTCCTACCCGTGTCAAGCCATTCTGGGGTGCTGACTACCCATGTCAAGCCATTCTGGGGTGCTGACTACCCATCGGTCCTAACAATCGATCCTCAGGGACTGGTCCCCTCCTGCTACCTCTATCGCATAACATAACAGGCCAACATACAAACATATCATCACATACTGTCAGACGTTTCTAGGGTGTCTGACTACCCTGCGGTCCTAACAACCGAACTCTACTACTATCGCATATAACGTATCATGATAGCATATAACATATTAGGTAATAGCAAACCTAGATGATATCTCAAAGACAATCATCTATCATACGTCTCCTACTGGTGGGCCGGCATTGTGGCCTTAGACCCACCACTACTGGAAGGTAACTCACCTCAAAGTAGCTGCTGAACTGATCGGGAACTAACTGACCGCTGCTGCTCCGGAAATCCTCCGGCTGCAATTCCCACAACATACTCAATCAAACACTGTTAACTGTCCTTTGGGTAAAATGACCATTTTACCCCTGGTCTAGCTCTAAGTCAAAGTCAGAGTCAACTTTCAGTTGACCCGACTCGCCGAGTTGGCTCTCCAACTCGTCGAGTCCCTATCAGACGATTGTCCTGAGTCCCTGTTTCTACTCGTCGAGTTAGGCTATGACTCGACGAGTTCATCTTCTAGACTGACGTTCAACCTCTTCATCCTACTCGCCGAGTTGTATGAACAACTCGTCGAGTTCATCTTCATCCGAAGAACACTTATGCTAAGACTCGCCGAGTTGTATGAACAACTCGCGAGTCTGTTCTTGATCTATGAAGATTGCCTTGGATTCGCCGAGTCAGGGCATTGACTCGCCGAGTCCTATCATGGGTGAGTTCAGCTTCTAACTCACCGAGTCACCCCCTGTGACTCACGGCTCATCTTGATATATCATAAAGGGACCAATTCAGTGACTCGCGACCAGACTCATCGAGTCACATATACGACTCGCCGAGTCGCAGCCATGCATCCATCAAATACACCGATTTGCTCGATTCCAGTCCATGCCATTCACAGATCTGGGCTTCTAGGACACAAATCACACGTAAAGTTTCCAACTTTACGTGTAGATATTCACCAATATGGATTTTAAGGCTCAAAGTGCACCAAAAGAGGTAGATCTAGGGCTTTCATGCAATATGACCCCATAAAGGCATTAGATCCAAGCTCCAGGGACTAAATCATGCCTAGATCTAAAGGCTAACAACTTATTACAACCCACAAAGCACAAACAAGCTTGGGGAAGAGCCCAAGAAGGACTCCTATGAAGCTAAAAGAGATTACAAGCTTGAAAACAGAGGGGAAACGAGCTATACCTCAAGGAAAACGTTGAGATGACACAAAGATGCCTGGTCTCCTTCTCCTCTTCTTGATCTACTCTTCTTTCTCTTCAAAATCTTCAAGAACACTCCAAAACACTTCAATCTCTCAAGGAAATAAGGGTAGAAACGATGTTGGGAGTTCATGGGGTGAATGGGGACGAGTTTGAGGCGGAATGAGGGTTTAAATAGGGTGCAAACCCTTGAAATTTAGGGTTTCATCCAGCAGCGGTGACTCGCCGAGTCGCCAACTTAAACGTGTCCTGAGTCTCGTCTCTACTCGGCGAGTCGGACCTATGACTCGCCGAGTCCAAGGCTAAAATAGGGAAATATTCAAATAAAATTCACATACCGGAAACCAGGTGCTACAAGAGAGCTTGTCATTCCAAAAACAAATGGAGAAAAAGAGAACAGTCTTCGTACCTGATTTAGGGAATAAAAGAATCTTTAAAAATTGAATGTAAGAGAAAGAAATCTAGGGCACATACATGAAGAAGAAGATAACAACTTTCGAACCTGATGCCTCCTCCATTTTTGTTTTCCGCATTCTGATGCTTCCGATCGTACCTTGAACCTCTGACTTTCGATCCCAAATCCAACTTGCAACCTTCGATTTCTGATCTTCAACCTGTAATTCGAGTCATAGTTCCGAATCTCATAAAATTAACCTTGCTACCTCCTATTTCTGATGAAAGAGGAGTCTCAAATCTGAGAGAAAAATGAGGAGTCTCTGGCTCAAATTAGAAACCCTAAAAGATGGATGACATAGGGAAAATCAGAAAGGTATGAACATACCATTCGATAACCAGAAAATGGACTGAGAGGAGGGGGCTGTTAGGGCTAGAAACTAGCTTCCAATCTCCTTTATCAACATCATATCGATAAATATCGCCAAAAACATATGTCTGTGTAATATATCAACCTTTTTAAAAGTAAATTCAAGCATAATTTCAGAGAAGGTCACATGAATTCATCTATAAGACATAATGTCCAATTGTTGATATCTTCCATCCCTAAAGTCACCGGCATGGCGTCTTTTTTCTTTGGAACCATCGCCATTGCCTCATAACTTTGGAGATGGCGTGCCTACTGTTGCCTTGATCGACGTCGACGACCGGGAATGGTACCTAACGATGGTCGAAGTGTGAGGGAAGAAGAAGGTAGCAGTCAATGTCGGGAGAGGGAAGGAAGGAGCCGATAATTAGGGCAAGAAGGAAAGAAGAAAAAAGGAAGGCGGGGTTTTTAATTTTTTAGGATTTCATTTCCCCCTAGTTATTAAACGATGGAACGCGCCTTGTATTAAAATTTATAAAGCGACACTCTTAGACGACACACGTTTTATTATAGGTGCCCTTCATGTTTTTTTTTGTTTTTATTTAGACACTAATTTAAGGGCACGCAGTAATGCGCGGCATAAATCCTTAAATTTTTTGAATAGATGATAATTTTTTAATGTCACTCTCTTTTGCGTAACATAAATCAATGAGTGTCGTGGTTTGCGCGTCGTAAAAGGGTATTTTTCTTGTAGTGGTATATGAGAAAAGAGAGATGAAGAGTAAGAAGAGTATGAGACAGACCTGCTAAGAGTAAGATATGTGTGAAGGGTAGAGTAAGAATATTAGAAGAGCATGCATAGAGTATGTGAAAAATAGACAGAGTATTAGAAAGAAAAGAGAAGTAGAAAGAAGACTTTGAGAGATCAAGAAAGAAAATAGAGTATGTATAGAGTCTGAGATGAGCTTAAGAAAAGGAAAAGAAAAAGAAAGATTAGATGAGAAGAAAAGAAAAGAGTAGAGGATAGAAAGAACATAGAAAGATGAGATGAGAAAGATTGATAATAGAGCAGAGTATTGTTGGGTTTTTATTCAAGAATTAGTTTCGAAATCAAGAGATTTAGCAACGGAAGACTTTGATTTTTGAACAATATAAAACAAGTTTATAACCAACCATGGATTTTCTTGCAAATTTTGGAAAGAAAACAAGCACCAAAGAAGAAGATGAAGAAATAACAACCTTTGTAGTTCTTTGGGTGCTCTTAGGTGGCTTGGAAGTTGATGGAGAATGTCGAACCTTTGAGACACCCACAAGTTACCAACTTGATGTAGGATGCTAGTCTTTTTGATGTAATCTTATGCTTGGAAATAAAATACCCAAGTATTCTATCCAAGAGAGCAGATCCAAGTAGTAAATTAACACATGTTTAAAGAAAAAGAAGCGGGGGAGAGAGTGAGTGAAAACTCACGGTGATTGCAAGAAAAAGGTAATACCAAAAGTGCAAGTCTCTAGCTAGTTAAATCTTACACTTAAACTAAAGGTCCTAAACCTTTAGGACTTTTAGACAATCTTGTTCCCCACTCATGAAAACTCATGCATGCACCCATAACTATTTCTTTTGATTAAATAATACAAAAGACCATCACTTTTTTCCATCCATCAATTTTTGACAGTAGAGTAATAAAAAGAGTGTTAGAGTTTAAATTTTACAAAGCCAAGTTTATAAAATATAAATTTTGTCTTTAGGTAAAAGAGAAAAGGATTCAACTAGTTCAAAAGGTTGTGGATGAATTATTAATTTATACCATATGAAATAATATGTTACTTGCTTTTGTAAAAATATATATTTCCATGAAATAATATTTTCCCAAATTATTATAAAAGCTCATGAATAATTATTAAAATTAATTTCTAATAAATAATAAATTGTATTAAGTTGCTGTTAGTGTGACCCTTAGGATCATATGTTAATTTGCAATATCACTTTAATATGATTCTTGAGCATACAAAATCTTTCAATCTCCCACTTGCGCAAGATTCTTATTAGACTGATATAGACTGTGGTGAACATCTAGAAATATTTCACTACCCCTATACACATATGACTTTGTTTCGTTCTATCAACGCCTAATTTCGAGAAGCTCAAAGCTACAATTAGTGTATAAGGTAAGTTTATCAGTTATCCATTTGTCACAGACATCATGTTGAACATGAGATACAGATCTCAATCAATCTTATCTATTGTTCAACTTTTAATGGTACCTTAGATGGCTAACTCTCAACACATAAGAGGAAAAAAAATCCTATCTTGACTACATAAGACTCTTGCTTAGTTTACACCATACC